TTTTTTTTTTTGTTGATTATTATAGGCATGGCACCTGCCGAATAAAGCCTTATTTGGGAAAAGGAAATGAAGGGAGAAAAAAATGGGAAAATAATTATTATAGCTACTGTAAATTGCCAAGACCAACAATGTTTTATTGTAGTGTGATTTGTTTGCGGCCAATAAAATCCCGGGTTTGTTCGGAAGGTCTGCTCGGTCAAACTTGTTTGTCCGAGTAACCTTTGGTTATCAAGGATGAGTGAGTACTCTCACAGTTACTAGTATCGAGAACGTGGTAGATTTCGCAGGCCGAAGTTGGTGCCTGCTAGGCGGGCAAACGCTTTGCTGTTCAGCAAAATATTGAGTTCATGAAGTATCACTCGGCGTTATTGGTCAGCAGGGTTGCGTGATTGTATGGTGCTGGCCAATAAGTCCCTGCCCCATCCAATGTCCATCGGGATCCGGGAATACTGAGTTATCGGCATTGGAGGAAGAGGTATGATAGCCAACATGGGAACTATGGATAAATCGGAATAGTAAAGAACCCCAAGAATCATGATGTCCGAGTACGAAACATGGATAAGAGTGCCTGATGAGCGAAAATGTTTTCTCAAACGAGGTTTATGCGTCCCAATTCACCGCGAGATAAATCCGGCACGAAGGAGAACCGCCCGAGCAATGGCTTGAACGAGGGTCATTTAACTACCACAGCAACGCTCCACAAGAAATCATGATTTACTGTTGGTATCAGATCACAGTTAAATATCATCTTCGAGAGACAAATCGTCGTGACTCCGAGAGAGCACGCTGGGAACTCGAACCATGTCCGACTGGTTAATTCATCATTCACTTGGTCGAACATTTCTCTCGGATAGGGTGCATAGACTGTGAATGGCAAAGGGAGCGGCACAAATGCTGGGTCGGTATGGGAGATGGTACGAGCCTGGCTAGTCGCGACAAAAAAAACTGGTGTCCAAAAGATTCTTGGGAAGACGTTCAATTTGGCAACCGCCACTCTACCGTATAATGACTCTAACGAGGGCTCGGGAGCTAGGGCATCACCATAGGAGAGTGATGTGATATTTGGAGAGTATGATAATATTATGATCCCATTATTTCGGGGGGGGGGAGTACCGTACCAGTTGGTTGTGCCCAGCGAGGCGGAAGGGTATGCTTCTTTTGTCGCTAATACCCTATAACAATGGGTATGTATGATATGATACCAATGGACTTCATAGGAAGGGCTTCGATGAGCTCAAGTAGATTTCAACTAGGGTTCGGTGGAATGTGAATTAGTTTCGATCAGGGCGGGCGCGGGGGTACTTGAGCCAGAAAAGTCTTCTTTGGCTTTTCGTGCAGACGTGTAATGGAATAGGAAAAAAAAGTGTTCCCTATGATATAATAGGGTCTTCGAGGCATGGAATAAGTGTAATGATGTAATTTCTTTATGACAGAATTGAAAGGTGAAATATGAGACCCGACTAAACCCTTGAATTATGTCTTTCCCCTTACGATCCCTGAGGTCTGACCCTTGCACAATATCCCTTCTACCCTCTCGTGACCCTTCTCTCTATACTGCTTCTCCCCCACGGGGTAGATAAGGGATTTCGCTCTAGGTCGACCTCGTGCTCCGGATTTTGAAAGCTCAGCTGACCGATACAGTTAACGACAAAGACCAGGCTAATATTTGCACATTAGCTACTATTCAAGTGAAGGAATCTTGAAGGGCTGTTGTGGGCAACTCCTTACCGAAGTTCTTGATGTCTAATGGGTAACTATTTGGATATCAGTATATCATAAGTATAAGAAGCGCCTAAGGAAATGACGGCCCCAAGTAGGATAGGGTCGGAACGGATGAACATACAACAGGTTGTGCGGGCTCCCAAAACTTCCAGTTGGGAAATAATTGGAGCAGACCAACAATTGCGGTGATTATTGCGAAGACGATGGTGACGATTTCTCCGGTTCGGACTTCATTTGCTTGTGGCTCGGCCATTGATTAAGTCTTTTTTGTTTTTATTCGTTTGGAACGATGTCTGTGGAGTACAGTACACTGTGGATTTTGTGGTATTTGAGGGGTCGTTTGGAATGTATGTTACTCGGTCGAGATAATCGGGGGGAATGTGGTCTATATATCATACCAAGCTACTCTGTTTACCGGTAACTGTACGAAGGTATTTATGGTCACTTCCGTCCTGGAAAACCACGCAGAGGTTGGGGTTGGCTCAACCCGAGGGGTGTGGGTTATTGGGGCAGACAGAAACTCGGCATGGCAAACGAGAAGGCAGAAAAAAGAGGTGAGGTGAGGGTGGCTTCGTCACGCCTGTTCCTTGTCGGTGTGTTGGAACGGTGATCTCTGAACCACACGCTGAGACGTCCAGAATTTCTCAAAGGGGAAAAGAGGGCCGCAAGGGAGCTGTCATTCAGCCCTTAGCTGAGACAAATATGATCGAGAGGGAAATCCCACAGACCTTATCGTATGATATAATATTATACGGTGCAGGTACTGTACATACTAGGGCCAGGAGAGGCAGCTCTAACGTCCTTGCGCGAGGCCCGGTTGTCCCAGTTCTTGAGGAATGATACCACTACGAGTAGAGTATCTCACCGATGAAATATCCCGTGCAACTAGTAAGTTATGCGGGGTCAGCCCGTCACCCTTGTTCACACCATGGGCAACATCCCCAATCATTACCCGCAAAAACCAACCCCCCAGTTGTTTATCAAATACCAACGGCCGTAGCCGCCAAATTCGGTTTCTGACTGGAGAAAGCACAAGGCCAAATTTTACTCGAGTACTCGGGAGGGACCGGGGACATCATACTCGAGCACTTGCAATTGAAGGACGATTGTGAACACGACCACTGTTGCATGACACTGAGATCCAGGCAAAAACCCGGTAAGAAGTTGTTTCCGCAAACGTCATTTAGTATTATACTAGTACCGTATGATACCTAGTTTTCGTCGGAATACAAATGTTCAGTTCACGAAATGATAGATGGCAATTGTGTGCAGTCGGTTGTTTAACTTTCGTGGTCACGGTCCCCAAGGAGCCAGCTATCATAGAAGCGATGATTTGATATTAGTACTCGTACAGTACTCGAGTACCGGTCCCCACCATCAGGAAAGCACTGGATGGTGTCACTTATCCGGCGTAGGGGGTGCTTGGGGTAGGGCAAATGGCGAGGCTTTGGGCCTCCTGCTGGGGCAGTGGGGTCAATGTCCCATACAAGTATGGATGATTTTGTTTCCCTGCAATACGGCAGTACTCGCATGGTGGTTCCCATTGCCATAACCTAACTCCAATAACCGGTGGTCCTCCATTGATTAAGATTCCATTCCAAGAGACGCCCGGGAGTGATCGGGGTTTTTTTTTCTTTTTCCTTTTCCTTTTTCCTTTTTCCACTTTCCTTTTTCCACTTTCCTTTTTCCACTTTTCTTTTTTTCTTTTTTCCTTCCTTCCTTCATCCTTCTTTTCTCTTTTCTTTTCTTTTTCTTTTTTTCTCTTTTTTTCTCTTCTTTTCTCTTCTCTTTTTTCTCCTTTTTTCTTTTTTGCTGAATGCGGGTACCGTAACACATACGGTATGAGTACCGGTACTCGGGTGTGTCCATAAATACTCGAGTATCAGAAACTAAGGGTGGCAAAACAGGGTGTTGTCTGGAAAACTCAACCACGCAACTCTATGTATCATAAGTAGACATCTTAAACAAGATGCGTTGAACTGAGTGGATATTTGTACCAAGAGGAGACAGGAGGCCAATAAAATGCGAACTAAAGAGTGAAAGAGCAGATTGCAGGAAAGAGAAAACGGGGAGGATACAGTTTACTCCATGACTGAAAGATTCTGTCACTGGTATCACTGGGACAGATTTATGATATTAGATTTGTTTAAATTGAATTCTGCCTCCCATACTGGTGCAGTACATAGCCATTTCTTTTCCATACTATGGGTTCTTGGATGGCCGATCCCAGTGGGGGTTTTCCAATTTTTGTTGCTTTCTGCTCACTAACCTCGCAGGACAAGGATATTCATCTTTCCGATTTTTATGGACACACCCGGGTATTTTATATAATACAAGTACTCGAGGAGAGAGTACCTGTATGGTAGAATAAAAAAACATATCACTTGATCAACACTCCCCTGGCCGTATAAATGATGAAATTGTAGTCTCTTTCTCTTGTTCCTGTTTTCACTACGGCATGGTCATCGCAAATTTGGAAGACAGACGTTGTCAGGGTTTTTTTTCCACCGCGATTTTAGGTAATCCACTGGGTGATCTTTGGGGACTAAGGAGAACGGACGCTTCAGGCCTCCCCTCAGCAAGTACCGGAATTAGACCTTTTTATTTGGGAGTGGCCTTGACGCTAGCTTGAGAGAAAATAGTGGATACAACAATAAGAGGAAGAAACACAATTTCATCATTTTTATACCACCGGCGGGTTGGTGATCACTTGTGATGTGATATCTTTTCTCGAAGTCATGGTTGCTCGATCAGTACTGCTGCAGGGAGCAGGCACTGGATGGGCGGCGGTGCTACACTACTCGAGTACTCGAGTAAGCATCGTACCGTATGGGGTTGAGTTACCCGTATTTCTACCCATAAGTTATATCTGAGAGGAATTGCTTTGCCATAACCATAAGCGAGAATGCTTGGGTTTCTCTATTAATAATAGCGGGGTTTCTGACACATAAGAGAGAGGGTTGCTTCGCACTCACTTCTCCTTCGCACCCCCCTCCATACTTGGATTGCGCACAATGAGCATGGTGAATCTCACCGCCATTCCCAGCTTCCCTCCCCCCGAGGCATGCACACCACACAGCGCTTTGGCTTCCCGATAGTAGGTAGCTAGCACTTGCCTATTGGGCCTATAGTCGTGTGGCTGGTTTGGACGAGGGTTTTCCCTCGATTCCTTTCCTGGTTCTGCGTACTCTCTCACATTAATACCTTGGGAATCCCCAGTAGGACCCGGATATCACCATCCTCCGCACTCAAGCTTACCTGCTCACCTCCCCCCCCAACAGCGCTCCGCTATTTCTTCTAGCCCTGCGAGTTTCATCGTTGGTCCGTCCGCATCCCTCTGTCGACATCACTGAATTTTCACCCCTCTTTCCCCACCTCGAATACCCGGTATTGTTTAAAGCTTATTTTTAGTAAGCCCTTCGGTATGGGGGGTGCCGGCCAGTCACAGGAACACCGGCCTTCGGGCCATCGAACTTGAATCTAGAATTATCGAAAACATGCGGAGGCAAAGGGAAAACCCTTGCGAATGCAGCTTCTGTCCTATCGTGCTTAATGTGGAGCGGGGCCTGTGGGATCACATCACAACCCATCACCCGGTGAAGTGTCCTTAGGGTGAGCTTGAACTCCAGAGTTTTCGAACACATATGAAAGAGATATGCCGAAGAAAAGGGTAAGCACAAATGCATTTCCTTCTTTGAGAGGCATCGCGAGCGAGAGAGCTTTTGCGGATGCGCATCGAAGAGCAGATCTAGCTAACCTAGTTGCTTTGGAATTTTTTCCCTACCCCATACCCTTTTCTTTCGTCGTTGCCTATTTGGTATTTTTACACTGTAGCTATACTAATTTGCGTTTGGAGTGGATGTGCCATCAAGTCCTGAAAATGTACAAACATCACCACATAATTCAAATACGTTTATCCGATGGAGTTCTAAAGATGCTGCTTCTTCGGAAGCCACCGGCGGACAAAGAATGGGTAGTAAAATGGAACCTGGAGATCAAACAAACCCGTCAGCATATTCTAAGGGCGACGTCGATGTGAATGGGAGGGCATTCAAATGGCCGATGCTTCTTCGCAGGCTCGATTAATAAATAGAAAGGGGAACGGCCTCAACTTGGCTCCGGATGGCGGCCCACCAACACCTACACATAATTGCCGAGGATGCTCCTAGATCCTGATTTTGATCGATCACGCTTTGTGATGAAGCCGTACCCGTATAGGGATAACGAGCCGGGAGTGGCTACTAGAGCAACCGCATCCCGCCGTTTGTTCGACCCGGGGAAGGCACTAGTCCTTTATACCTCGCCCTCATTAAGAAAGGTAGCTGCGCTCTCAGACATTTTCTCTTAACCGCGAAGGCGGGTAGAGGATGATCTTAGAGAACCTTGCACAGCAATCCCAGCAGATAGTCACCACGAGGGTGCAAGATACGACCACCGCAATTCCACGGGGGCTCAACGCCTGAAGATAATGAAACACGATTGGTTAGACAGCCACAGACTTGACCAATCAACCCGGAGCAGCTCATTGCTGAAGTAAAGGGGATATATGCCGGTTTAGTCATGGTTGAGGCAAAATGTGCTCAGGTGGATGCTAAGCAAGCTGCCGCAACTTGTGGTGATGGCCAAACACAACCTCGTCTGAACGATGAACAGTGGCAAGCATTGGTTGCTTTATATCGCACCCTGCCGCATGAGCACCACGATTTCTTTTTGGCCTCGCAACACCCGAGCGCTAGCCCCCCCCTACGGCGATTGGCTGACAAGTACGCAATGCCGGCTCGGATGTGGAGGCATGGGATATGCGGCTTTCTGAAATTGCTCCGATATAGATAACCATACTCATTGGAGCACATGTTGACCTTTATCTATCTTGCATGTAGCATGATGGCGTTATGTAAGTTTGGAGCCACGGTTTCTGCCCCACAATTTATCTCAGTGGTATTGACTTTGTAGTGTACGAGAGTGCCCCCGCCTTTGGGAATACATGGGTAGAGTGTCTCGGCGATCTCGGTCTTTATCGGATGGCTATTGAAGACGGTGATGTCCGAAATCGTGACGTTTGGGGTGGTGTTGCCCGATTCTTGTACTCGAAGGCCACGGATAAGACTCCATACATTGGTCGTTTGTTTCATCATTTGGCTATCCTTGCCAGACCCAACGTTCTTCAGCAATTATTCTACTATTACAAAGCTTGGCCGTAGCGCAACCCTTCTACTCGGCTAGAGAAAGCATTTTGGCTTTGTTTGACCTGATATTTTCGCCCGAACACATTATCGAGAACCGTGTCGATGCCAGGTTTATTAAACTTCATGGTATCAATTTCACCCATATCGATCTCGGAAAGTTTGATGATACTCTGTTCGATCGCCTGGGTTACATTGACATCCCCCACCCACGCAAGGAAAACCCAAAGCCGCGCTCGCAAGCCACCAAAACCGATGCAAAATCTCGGAGTTGTACTGAAGAATCTTTGAGCTTCTCCAAGGGGCTGGCATACAAGATTCTCAGTCTCTCCCTCCAACGAATCGGGGATTCGAACGTGTTACCTCGCGTCCACGTACAGCTCGTGTTTCTTGCCTATGCAGCTAGACTAGAGGTTGGAAAAAGGTCGTGGGAGGCCGCTTCTAGAAGATTACATCTTGTGAGGTCTTGAACGGTGGTTCGAAGATGCGCGGGTGGATGAAGAGGAACGCTTAGTGGAGGTGCCATATATGGAGAGTGTCCGTATTGAGTGTGCCTCGCGGCCCACCATCCAAGTTGCCGCTGTAGGATACCCTTCCAGAGCCTTTTATTTTTATGGTTTACTGACCTGGCGCTTTTGAAGAATAGCGAATGCATAGCCTACGCTGACAAAAGATTTCGGATACGCCCGTCTTTGAAGAGAATCGAAGAGCACCAAAAGTTTGAGGCGACAATTACTCACGAACAGAGCAGGAATTGGGCGGGCCAAGAATGACATCAACCTCAAGATTTTGATAGACATGACCAACGGGGAGAACGAGTCGGAGGATAGCGATTATGTGCTGGTGGGCCAGTCTGAGGAACCTAAAAAAGAGGTCCCAAAGGGGCCGGAATCGCTGAAAGACAACGTTTCGGTATGTTTTGCGTTCTATAGTTATTGAACAACAACAAATTCATAATTTGTCTAGCTCTTGGTCGTTGATATCAATCTTCTACTCAGCCAGCCTGAGGTCTTCAAAGTCATAGTTTTTGCATTCAATTGGTCTATTGTGACACCTGTTACTAGTATGTCAATTGCATATATTGGTTTTGAGGCTCACTAACCAATCGAGTAGTGATCACAAAGCTCTTTGGCTTGACGAATAGCACAGGTCTCGTTGGGGATGCCGCAAAGGCAGCTGCGATTGCAACTAACAAGGCCCTTACTGATAAGAGAGGTGTGAATGTTGTCAACGCGAAGGGGAGCAATGTGACCAATATTGGCTTCTACAAGGAGCAAGTTGATAAACATGGAGTACGGGACTTTAGGGAGAGTCACGGAGGCAAGCAATCCCTGGAGATTACGGCGATTATGAAGCGGCTGTTTTAATTCCCGAGTATCGTAATATGCGGGTTAAAGCCAACGCCCGAGACGTCACCGCTGTATCGGCATCTGCCTTAAAAAAGGCCCTGTACCCTCTGGCAGGTTCGGTTCGGCCGAAGCGCTGTCACTTGGTGCTCCGGCAGTGGCTCCGGACTGCCCTGGAGATGAAGTGGCGTTTATGGAACCTGGTGGGGAATTTGATTCCGTTTTGAATATAGGCACTGTAATCAAAAAGAGGCAGTTAAAATGAGGGAAGACACAGGGCATGGATGCGCCTAAAGTCGCTTGAGGGTCTTTTCAGTGATTGGAATCCTCCCCCTCTCCGCCGAGGGAACATCATGATCTCCGCCCTGTATGCGAGGCTCTTTGCTCTTGATGTCGGCTACTTCGTGGCTTGTTGATTCGATTGCTCTAGTTCGGTTTATGGAGGGATTGAATATTACTCGCGAGATCACGAAAGTGGGCTGATAATTTTGTAGTTGTGATGGCGGTGTGCCCTACTGCAAGTTTGACGGTTCGTTCGTTGGAGGGCATTGGTGAATTAGTCTTTTCTCCAGCTTTATGGTGCGGTGACACCACATTCATTTCCCTTCCTGGCTTCTTCCTACACTCTTTTTCATCTCATCTCTTCACTTTGTCTTCTGTGGGCTGTACGGGACCTAGAACGAGACCGAGACCCTGTAGATGTATTTTTAACCTCTAAAAAACAATTTCATGCTCCCCTTTAGCCCCGATCGACATCTTGGCGTATGGGTGGGGGTGGCCAGTCCGGTGGCTCTCCAATGGGCATCATCGTACGAATCAGTACCGGCGAGTGCCTCTTTTTGCGAGTCCTTGCTGAGAACTCTAATGGACTTGAGTGAGCCAACGTAGTAATATCGACATAATGTCATAATTGCTTCGATAAAATGGCAAGGGTGGCTGCATTTTGGGCCGCAGGGTGGACATATGTGGTCCGAAGAGTATGGTGTACGATTTCTTTTACTGGTGGAACTGTAAGTTGGTGATACAATTCCTTCCAACTCAAGTCATATGAGCACGTGTCTAGTAACTGTGCCTTCAAGTTCATGGCACTCTTAATTTTCTGACGTTTGTGGACGTGGCTACTATTGTATATTACCGAAACTTTGAGGTTCGCCGATTTTTTCCCCCATATCCAATAGTGGCTGTGTTCAGGGCGTCAGAAAATTATAAGCGGCCAAACAGTGAGACCCACCGCACTGACCTGCTATTTGGCCGTTAGGTACCGGGATATTTCTGCAACCCGCCAGTTTTAGCTGTGTTCGTTCGTTGCGACACTCCTGTGTGCGGGGCTCGTATCACCTGGCAAATTGTGGGAGGAGAAGAAAGGCACTTGAAGGATGATCGCACTTCTCTAATTTCCTTATTGCCATCTTTTTTCCCCCTACCCCTCGGTCAAGAGCGGGGGGTTAGAAGCTTCGAGATACGGATACTAATTCAGCGGTTTAGCTAACCGGTTCGCGATTGTTGAACCGAACAGACATAGAAACGAAAGCTTCTATCATACTGTTCGGATACCTATCGTGGGATACAAAGCCCCACAATTTCCAAGCCGGGTTCAGCCTATGGGCGGGGTTGACCATAGTCCGGCGGCTCTCCAACGAGTATCATCGTGCGAATCAATACCGGCGAGTACCGCTTCTCGCGAGTCCCCCCTCTCGAGGTCTCCAGCGGACTGATAGCGGATCATAGGGATTTTTTACGGTATCCCATGTGGGGCGAAAAAGCCTCGATAAGTTATATATTATGAAAGATATGTATTATGATATTGAGTGGAAGATGTAGGCAGGTTCACAGTGAATCACTCGCATGGCTGTGGGGCCACGTGGAGCAGCAGCTGATTCGCACGGTCGTTAGTCAATATTTTTGGTGGAAGCTGGATTACGTGTATTTGTATCTACTCTATATTCCGCAATCGCAGAAGGGAAAGCGAAGCTCGGAAGATGACATGTTAGAATATCAAGTATTGTATCATGACGGACAGGAGCAAGTGGAAGAGTCGAACGGCTCACGGGAGCCCCGGGGCTTTCGCTGTAGACCGCAATATATCCCTCCGGTTCCAGATGACACCACTTCACATACAATGATTCTCACAGTATGATATCGGAAAAATAATGTAAATTATGATAACGAAACGACTTGGCAATATATTCAAAGTGAAAATTTAATGAGAAAAGATCAAACAATAAGATAAAATAAGGCCCTTAATCCATAGCCCATGGGTCGCCCCAGATGATCCACCTAGGCTCACAGCAAGGTGAGATGCACGCAAAAACACTTCTATCCTGCCGTGATCGTCCCAACAAAATCTCTCCTCCGCGTCGATGTGAGCCCAGGACCCCGCTCCAAGTCAATCTCGGACCCTGGGTTGTGGAGGTGTAGCTGACCGATGCAATTAACGACAAGAATCGGTCTAATCGTTACCCTTTAGCAAACTCCCGAACGTGTACAGTACAGTACTGGTAACTTAATTGTTGAGATAACATTTCTTGTAGGAGGCGAACTCTTACCGAAGTTCTTGAGGTGTAGCGTGAGGCTGGAATGCCGATCAGCATCTATAAGTCATGCCCAGGGAAGCGACCCTATGCGGAAGAGTATCGGATCAACTCACGATGGGCTTCCCGGACACCCAGAACCTGCAGTTGGGGAACAATTGGAGCAAGCCAACGACCGCCGTGATGATTGTGAAAACGATTGCGATGATTTCTCCGGTTCGGAGACTGTTTGCGTACGGCTCGGCCATTGGTGGAGGAGTGAGGATTTTTGTTTTGTGTTTTGCTGTATATCCGTATGTTCTGGATCTCGTAACATGATTTGGGCGGGGAGCACCGTTTTATACCTTCGGGAGGGAGTGGTTGCGGCTCCGTGTCCAGGGAGGTTGCGGCTCCGTGCAGGGGCGAGCAGTTAACTGGCACAGCCTTATTTTTACCTCCCCCGATTTTCCTAGTTTTACTTGTAATCCCCGATTTTCCTTGCCTTACATACTGGGGTCGATCAGGCTGTGATTTTCAGCCCATACAACGAGTGTGGGGGCGATTATGTACTAGCGAATTGAAGCTTGGCATTTCCTCCCTTTGCGGTCATTAGAGCAAGGGTAGTTGCCGTGGGCGAATGGCGGAAAGGGGTGGGTTCCGGGCATACTACTCGAGTACCGGTACTCTTACAAGTACCCTCACAAAATCAGTAGTTTCGTCTAGCTACCCATGCAGAGTGATCCGGGTTGGGGGCAACTCGGTGGTATCCCTGCATACCGTCTTGTCAAAGGGGCCACCTGATTATACTTGTGTGAGTATCGTAAGAGCCCGAATAGAAGATGATGTGCTAGGACGTTGGAATTCCCCTTCTCAGCTAAGGGAGAAGGAAACACTGCAAAGTCAGCCCTCCGCTGAGACAAAAGGAAAGGATTATACGCAGCGCTATACTAGGAGAGGCAAGTACTGTACAACGTCCTAGCACATTTATCCTCTATTTGAATTTCTTACAGTATCATAGAAGATATGGGGGAGTGCTAGAACGTTGGAACTGCCCTCGGCTATAATGGAGGAAACACCACAACTCCGGCATTTGGGGCATAAAAAAAAAAGAGGATCCGCGGTTCTTGACCAGGAGAGAGGCAGCTACGGTGCGTTGTCCAAACACGCTTATCCTCTATTTCAGTTTTTGCGGTACGGTATGATACTCCTACTCCCACTTACTGTGCTAGCCAACTCGAAGGTGTGTCCCAAGGATAACCGCTCACGGTGGGCGGCAATCCCTCTCTTGGGACAGGCTTGGCTATGGTAGGGCCGGAGGACTGGTCTCACCTTGTACCAGAGCACAACAAATGGCCCCGAGAGCTCCTACCTCGGCGGAACCCGGAGATAGCGGAAAACACTTGCAACTGATTTTCGAACAAAGCAGTGCCGTGAGTGGCTCAGGGTAGGTAGAGGCCCGAGTCGGACGTCCCATTTTGGCCGGCATTGGCGCAATGTGTTTTCAATTTCATGGAGCAGGTAAAAACAAAACGGGTATGATACCCAGCAGGCTGTCCCTTTAGTGAGTTACCGGTACCGCAGTTCGTAATTCTTCCTATGCAGTAATCTTCCCCCTTCCTGCAGCATTCAATAGTGTAAGATCTCTTGTGGTTCGTTATCCACTCCGTGCCCACAAATATGTTGCATCTCATTCATTGGCATTCGCAATTCTGTTGATCCGTCAAACTAAACCTATCGTGAGCTGTTACGGTCATTTCGGCTGGTAATCTAATAAGTTGGCGAGTTCCGACAGATATTACCGTACCGGTAAGTTACAAGTCTGTTCATTCACCGCTGTGGTAGGATCAAACCGGTTACTGACCGCTAAAATGGAGGCAGAAATGTAGGCGGCAAAACGAGTGCTGGTGCGGAGGGGGGGGGGGCAGAAACTGCGCACGTCGTTCGTCTAACTTCGCACCACCATGGCAAAGAGAGAACAGCGGGAACAGTTAAAGCTACAGGAAATTAAGACCTCAATTCCTATTATGAACTCGGCATACGATAAACTAAGGTTCGTTAACCGGCTGAATACGAGTACTTCTAAGGCGGTACTCTACTCAAGCACTTGACCCTACCTCATTGTTATCATGCGTCCTCGTGAGGAAAACCCCTCGCGTAAGCTGCGCCGTTGGGCACATCCTGCCCTCCGTTCGAGTTTGGGGGCGATAGACACAGCTGTCATAATTGCGAATCATGGGAGAGCCGGAATGGGTTGGCAAGGATCGGAGGGGCGATGCCCTTAAGGGGCACGATTTCAAGGTGGGATACCGGTAGCATTTCGAAAAGTTTCATCAGTTTGGGTGATCAGCCTTCCTCCTTCCGGGGTCATCATTTTCGCAACATTTTCCAATCGGGCCGAATATGAAAGCAAGGATCCACCAACGAGATTTCGTGGAGACAAGCCTCGGTGGTGTTAACACTACGGTAGTAGTGGTTTTTTAGAGCACCTCGCGGGCGTACTCAGAGCAAGGC